AGAGTGTTTCCTCTCCCACCCCTATTGTTTTCAAACATCTCCATCATGAAGTCATGACTCAGAGTCTTCAGTTTTAGACTAATATATAAACTCAAATTATACTGCATGTAATTACTTTGACACATGCAGGATCTAAGACATAAGGCTCTGGTGGTGTTTCCATTAGCAGTTTTTGACAGGCATCTGAGAACCAGTGGGGTTTTTTTTCTAGAATGTTTGTTGAAAAAACTCAAAGCACTGAACACAGTAAGAGAATATTAACATAAATATGCTTTTCCTTGTTAAACCCATCAACAAATAGACCTCTTTAACCCAAACCTTCCCTCCCACCCTCCTTATCTACTGCTGTCTGTTAGCTGAAGGATTTTGTTGATCACTGTCAGATGTATTTACTCTCATTAACCACTTGTTGCTGTGCTTTCTCTGTTAGTGTCTTTAATATAAGTAATTTGCTTAAATGGCTTGAGGTATACACTGAAATCAAACCATCTATGTGTGTTAACAGGCTGTATATTCATTTCAGTCTGTAATTAATGACTTCTTATCTGCCAATACTTTTAATAAGAACCTAAAATGACTGACAGTCAAAATAGTAGCTACTTAAATTCTATCAAACAACTAAAACTATTCTACATGTTAATTAGTGTGTTCTGTGTATTACTTACTTTTAATTTTAGATGTCCCAAATCTTCACAACCAGCCTTCACAACATTTAAGACTATAATAAAGGAGGTTAAACCACAATACAATAAGACCATAAAAACAAAAGAACTGGTCTTTCTTTACATTTTTCCAGCACTTGGTTTACAGTATATTTAGTATTTTCTACTCAGTATTGATTGGAGTATCATTTGAAAGATTTAAAATTGATACAGAAAACTGACATTTCTCACTGGAAATACAGGAATATCTTAGCTGTATTCTAAGACTAGATTCAGTTCAGTGTTAACAGCTACAGTTGAACCAAATTAGTAATCAATTTAAAAATTTTTCTGACAAAAGTTATTCTGTAACGACAGTCATGTTTATATTATGGAGTTTTTGCAGGATATTTTACACACTCATGGGTGTACCTCAGCCTCCACCATATCCACCTCTGTGGCTAACAGCTAATATTATTTTCAGAGTTTGGGAATCTTTTAATCTGGCCCCAAGAATTACAGAGAGGTGGTGATGTCAGGAGAGAAAAGAGCAGTGGCCAGTCTGTCATGGGAATTTACAGTCGGGTTGGTTCGTGGAATCTTAATCGGGGACGGCATTGTTCAGGGCAGGTCCTGCGTGGGGGCAGACAGGCTGAATGTTGGGAAAAGGCCAGGGGTGAGGAGGAGCGGGGGCAGGGATTTGGAGGTGTGGACAGGAAACCGCTGCTACAGCACCGCAGGATGCTAAAGTGTCCATTTTATTCTATTCATTTAATTCACACACCCATTACATACAGAGTGATAGTGGAAAAAGTAAAGACAACAGTGTTTTAATAACTGGCTGAACCACCTTTGGCAACAATAACCTCAGGCAAGCGCTTCCTGTAGCTGTGGATTAGACCTACACAAATTTCAGGAGGAATTCTGGACCACTCTTCCTCACAGAACAGCTTCAGCTCAGCCATACTCTTATGATGTCTGGTGTGAACAGCTCTCTTGAGGTCATTCCACAGCATCTCTGCAGGGTTGAGGTCTGGGCTCTGACTGGACCGCTCCAAAAGGTGGGTTTTGTGGCTCACATCAGGTGATGCTGTTTGTGAACAGCAGTCAAGGTGGTTCTAAGCCACACCTCCATTCTCATTTCATTGATTGGCCTCCAGGTTTACTAACACCTAGCCATTACCTTTTCCACCATCGCTTTGTATGTTTAATGAGTATTTGGAGCCATGTTTGTGTCCACCAGATGTTAAGTCCAGTATTTACTCTCTTCTAGCTCTGTGTTTGGTCTCTACCAGCTCCCGAGTCTCTAATTGCTCCACTAGGTTCACCAAGTTTCTAACTGTGTATATGTCTGCACTGGATGACTGCAGTCGTACTCAGTTAAAATGACTTTACTTACAATTAATGGTCCATAGAACAAATAATGGCCACAGATTCAGCTGGACTGGTGTGAATTTCTCTAGTAATAATGGTTTTGTCCCACAATGTTCCTAACATCTTTAATTCTGATGTGAGCACTTGGTCTTCTGTGTGTTTGTTTAGCCAGTGGCTGTTCCGAGTGGAAGAGAGAGGATGTGGAAGAAGACGGCGAGGAAGTGTTCACAGTGGAGCTTCAGAGAGGACCTCATGGTCTCGGACTGGCACTGGTAGATGGAATGGTACGACGTCCTCCTGATCGAGTCCACCACACATTCACAATCACAGCAGAGTTACAGTAGTCATATGAATTTGAAAGCGCAAATCTTATCTGAATTGTTTCAGATCAGTTTTATGCTTTCACACAGTTTAATCTGGACTAGAGAAAAACCTAGAGTAATTGTTCACATCTCAGGTAAAACACTAAACTGCAGGGATTTCAACTCAGCAGACTGGAAGCGCCCGCAGTGCACTCTCATGGATAAGAGCTAATACAGTATTCACTACATTTCAGTGAGAGGGCGGTGCATAACTAAATCCTAATGGGACAATTTATAACAATATAGCAGTGATGGTTCCATACAGTAGGATTTAATCCACAGCAAAGTGGTAATACAGTATAGCATGATACATGTTATACTGATGGAGGTAGTTCTGTAGATATGGACGTTATACTCTAATGAATTTAGTGTAAGCTGTTGTCGGCTTGTTCCTAAACCAAAGGATTAGACACATTTTGACCCAGTGATGCAGTGAGATGAAAAGTTAGTGGATCACTAAAATTATCAGAACGCTGTCGAGGATAAAAAGGATTATTTCCCACACACACAGTGGCCATTGTGATGCCTCCGCCTCTGACAGTCGTCTTTTATTTTGTTTGATCTTCACACAGAAAACTCCAGTGAGGATGACTGGGATTTATGTGAAGTCAGTGGTTCCCAACTCTCCTGCTGCTCAGTGCCAGAAGCTGAGAACAGGTGATCGCATCCTGGCTGTTAACGGCATCAGCCTGGTTGGTATGGACTACAGCATGTAAGTACTAAAGTACACACTGGTCCTCAGTACATTACCCTGATCTCCTCTCCCTGTCACTGTGTGTTAACTGTTTGTGTTTCTCTGTGTTTTCATTTCAGGGGTAGAGAACTGATTCGTTCCTCGGGAGACTTTCTCAGACTACTGGTCGCCAAGATCGACTCAAAGACAAACAACAAGGCCTCAGATAAATGCTGAAAGACAAAAGTGGAGGATGATCGAGTGTAATCTGGAATACTAGAAGACGTGAGGTCCCTCCTATCTGCTGCAGCCAAAGTCAGTATTTCTTAAGGGATGAATTCCCTGACCAAAGGAAAACACACCTCCCACTCTTATTGTACTCTCATTTTTAATCAGAGCTGTTCCATATGTGGACAGCTTCAAGACAATCAACCAGGGCAGCAGGACCTTATTTTGCTCATACCAAACACAGACTGTGGGCATTTTGCTGGCAGACGGAGAGTGGAGACAAGTTTATAACGGCTCATTTTGCTGTCTCAGCTTCTTTCTGGCTCACAAACAAACTCTGCATCAGGTTCTGCTTCATACTCCTAAACCATGAGGGTTCGGTGGCGAGGAAAAGAACTATCTGTGGTAATTTGCAGTCAAGAAACATTTATTTGTATGTCTGAGTATTCTGTCTGAAGAGCATCACTGAAGCTACTGCAGAGTCATTCACCTCTGGCGGCAACTGGAATTGCTTTGAAATACTTTTTTAAATGACTTGTGAGTTTATTTTACTCCATCTCACTCAGTCATTTAGTCTGTGAGGGAGTCATTGTATGTTATTTCTTTACACAAGTACAAAAATGTCTGCCACCACTCATCACAGTGACATACAGTAACTTCATCTGCTTCCAATACATATACATCATTTAATATTCTGTCTTTAAACACATTTCTAGACAATGAAACGAGGAGAACTGAGCAGAGTTACCACACTACAGGGAGAGGTTTTTTTCTGACATGATTTTGGTAGTTCTTTACTTTAATGAGTCTGTAAATTCCTTTTCTCCCCCCAAATATTTTCAAAAGAGGTTTTCTGGAAACCCACAGAGATGCACAGTGAACAACCTTGAAACCTTTATTTAGAGAATAGCAAGTGAGCTAAACATGCAAAATGTGAAATGTGTATCCACAAAGAAACATCCAGCATTAAGGAAGAATAAAGGAGAAAAGGAGCCATTTCTTTCATGGGAACTCATGTGGCAGTTGATAATAAAGTCAGTGTGAACAAACTAAAACATGAGCCCCAGAACTTTGTCATCAAACCCTTTCCAGGAAATCTTCAAGGAATTATTAGGAAATAATGGACCTGTAAAATAAAACATTTCCACGATGTTCTTTGCATCTAAACAAAAGCCGGACGTTGCTTTTACACTTGAGGCTTTGTACAGATTAAACGCATGTTTATTAGTAAGTTCTAGATTCTGTTTGGATGGAGCCAGGCTAGCTGCTCACCTCTGTTTCCAGTCTTTATGCTAAGCTAAGCCGTAGCTTTATATTTAACAAAGACTTGAGGGTGGTATCAGTCTTTTAACAAAGCAAAGAAGCAAATTTTCCCAACCATCAAACTATTGCTTTACAGCTATACTGTCTGTAGTTTGTCAGAATCATAAAACACCTTGGAGTTACTGAGATGAAAGCAAAAACATCAGCAGACATTTGTAATATGTTAAACAATAGAGAGCTGCAAACTCCTGAAAGCTGATTTCATCCCAAATGTAAACAGTGTTAAAGTTCAAGTATATAAAAAAGCAAAAGTATTTGTTTTTGTAATATTTATATTGCAGTGAATCTTTGGAATAAATAAATACCTTGAACTTTTGTTAATTTTACTCTCTGGTGCCTAAAGCATCATAAGTCTTCTCCTATAATGTGTATTTGTTAGCAGGTTTGGGACTGAATTAAACCTGCAGCTGGGGTCTAAAAACACATCAGTGTGCAGCAGTATGGAAGCTGCTGGGTGTGT